CTATCCATGTACTCTAAGGGGTACATTCCCTTATTGCAGCGAAATTCAAACCGTGCGGCGCGGGAATCAGTTTCAAACCTGTTCCCGCTCTTTTCACTTCAAATGTTTCTGCCTGCATCGGTCTTGGTCAGACGGTTGCTGTGTCGCTTCGACTCTTCTGACTCCTCGACTTCGTACTCGGTAGAGTCGGCTCCTGCAGCATACAGGAATGCCTTCTCATAAAACTTCATATCGTAACACTCCCCTTCATTCCTGGACGCGAAGGGTGCTGACTCGCTTGACCACTCCGGTGAGGTCGGAGCAGTGCTTGAACTGCTGACGTGGCAGACGCTTGGTGAGGAAGTCGGCTGCCATCTCGGTGGTCGGGCAGTAAGCGAGGTCAACTTTGCCCTGGTCGATTTCGTCTTTGACGAAGAAGTACCGCAGTGCGATGTGCTTCGTGCGGTTCACGAACCCGGGCTTGTTCGCGATCTTGATCGCGCTCTGGTTGTCGCAGTGCAGGCGAAAGGTAGGCGAGGTTGGAATTTTCGCCTCCTGTAACAGCTCCTGCAGGTACAGGCCTTCGCGAACTGCTGCTGTCGCGGCGATGTATTCAGCTTCGGCCGATGACAGGGCAACCAGTTCCTGCTTCTGCGAGTTCCAGGAGATGGGGCCAGTTGGCTCCAGGCGAAAAACGAAGCCGGTTCGGGACCGTCGATTTGCTGGGTCAGCAGCATGGTCAGCGTCCACGTAGCCGTTGAGGTTGAAGGATGTTGTTGACAGCGTGGAGTAGGAGAGTCCGATGTCAGGCGTGGAGATGAAGTACTGCAGGGCGCGCTCCAGGTCCAGCTGGTTCTCGGCTACTGGTTTGCGGGAGTACTGTGCCAGTTGGCTGGCGATGTACGAAAGGTCGGGTCGGCATGTGACAGATGCGAACAGCAGGCAGCCCAGCTGCTGCTGGTACAGTTGGAGCCCCGCGGGGGACAAAGGTTTGTTGTCTGGTTTGTAGTTGGTGCTGGGGCTGCGGTAGGGAGTTGAGAGTGGTGCGCGTGAGATGTTGAACCGTTCTCCCAGCTGCTCTGCGTATTTTGAAGCTGACAGATGAATTGCTTCTGGCGCGTAGGTGATGTTCAGGCCCAAAAACTGAGTGACGTTGTGGTTGGTGATAATGTCCACGCGCTTCGCCAAGTTTTCTTCGAACTGGGTAAGAAGCGTGTTGCAGGTGCCAGTGTAGAGCAGGTCGTCGACATAGACGGTGAGGAGGATGTAGTCGTCGTTGATGTGGAGGCGATACATTCCCGGGTCGTGCGGCAGCTGCCTGAAGCCGATTTCCAGTAGGTTTTTGTGCAGGTGCTGCTGCCAGAGACGGGGCACCTGCTTAATCCCATCGAGAGATTTCTTCAGCTGACAGACCCTGGGATCTCCTTCTCCGTAGGTGTGTGGCTGCTCCACAAAGATGGTTGCGTCCACCAACGCATATAAGAATGCGTTTTTCACGTCGATCTGTCGCAGTGGCAGATGCTTAGCGGCCGCTATGGCGAGTAGGATCCTGACGGAGGTGTGACGGCTGACAGGAGCGAAAGTCTGGTCGAAGTCGATGCCGTGGCGTTGGTCGTAGCCTCGGACCACCCATCGTGCCTTGAAGCGCTCGATGGTTCCGTCAGCGTTAGTCTTGAGCCGAAAAACCCACTTCCCGCTGAGCACCCTCCTCCCCTTCACTGCTGCACGATCGACGAGGACCCAGGTGTCATGGGACTCCAGCGCTTTTAGTTCGGCGTCCATAGCTGCACGCCACTCTTTGGCGTGCGGGCCGGTGAGGGCTTGGCGCGGGTTCTTTGGTTCAACAGCGCGAGTCATGGCAGAGACGGAGGTGTGGAGCCCGAGAAGCTGCAGGCCGGAGACGTTCGCGGTTTCCGCAGTGTCAGTGATGGGGACCTCCACCACGTCATCATCGTCGCTCTCGTGTCCAGGTGAGGAAGAGCCGGGGGCGGTTTCGCGGCGGGATGGTCCAGGGGCAGGTGCGTCATTGCTGTCGTCGTCGTCGTCGTCCGAGCGGGGGCGAGGCGGAATACCAGGATGATCGTCGGTGTTGTCGCGATCGAGGGCGGCTGCTGCTGCTTCATCCTCGGGAGATGCAAAGCTGCGACCGCTGTTGACATAGCCGCGAGCTTGGTTGCGTTGTTCGTCCTCAATCCACTGCTTCAAGGTGAGCCTTTCGTAGAAGAGGACGTCACGCGCGGGAACAATTTCCCTGCTGTCGATGTCGAGAATGAGCCAGCCCTTGTGCTCGTTGCTGAGCCCCAGATGAACTCCCCAGCGTGCGCATTCAGTGAACTTGCCGATGTGTGCCGTGGTTGGCCGGTACTGCACCATGCACCCCCAAACCCTCAGCATGGAGGGATCTCCCCTTGAGCCGGTCCACTTCATGTGCGGGGAGAGGTTGTCCATGTTGGCCGTGGTGGAGAGAAGGTTGTAGAGGCGCACCGCGTGATTCATGGCGTAAGGCCAAAACTTCTTGGGGAGGCCGGACTGATTCATGAGGGCGCGCACTTTCGTCATGAGGGTGCGATTAACCCTCTCGGCGACTCCTTGCTGCTGATGAGCGTAGGGGAGAGAGATCTCATGCTTGATCCCCTTTTCGGTGAGAACGCTCTCCAGCTCGTTACTGCGGAACTCCTTAGCGCCATCACTCTGCCAAATTTTCAGCTTCCTCCCTGACTGTCGCTGTGCGTGTGCGAGCCAGATCCGGAAGACTTCTGGAGCCTTGGACCGTGCGTCGACGTTGGCGATCCAGACGTGGCGTGAGTAGGCGTCGATGAAGGTCAGCGTGTATTTTTCGCCGTTGAGTCCGTCGCAGGTGAGTACAATGAAGTCGCTGTACACCTTCTGCAGTTTCTTGTAGCGGTTGGTGCTTGGCTCCAGCGAAGGATATGCGTTGTGAGTGAGGGCTGCAGTGGGGCAGACGGTGCAGGTGAGTGGGTGTGGGGTGTTGTGTGGTTCGGTGCCGTCGGGGCGCAGAAGTGCTCATGGGAGGAAGACCTTGGCGCGGAGGCAGTTGGCGAGAGTCTGGCGCGAGGGATGCCCGAGTCGCTGGTGCCAGAGGTCGTCTTCTGCGCGAATGCCGCTGCTGCGCATGTAGCGTGCGCGATGCTCCGCTGCTTCTTCCTCTGACTCTTGTGGGATCTGGAGCGGTGGTTCCTCCTCTTCTCCTGGTTCTGTTTCGTCTTCCGCTCCTTTTGCCTCTTCTTCTGCGGTTGTCTCCCCTTCTGCAGGTGCGGTCGAAAGATAGAGGGCGAGAAATTCGCGGTCGGGGATGATGGTGAGCGGGGTTGTTGTGCCTTCGATGAAGCGGGCGAATGGATCTGGACGGGAGATTGGACCAAGAGAGTCTCGGACCGGTGTTGGAGGTACGTTCCCCTCCTCAAGCTCCGTCCAGGTACTGTCCCAGCGCCATGGTGACCCGGCGGGGAGGTGAGCGTGGAGGTGGGGGCCTTCCGAGAGGTATGGCGACGCGGGGTGCTGTTTCTCGGCGTTCGGCGCGCATCTCTCGTTCTGCCTCCTCCAGCTCCTCTTGTGTGAGATCCGCCTCAGCTGTCTCTTCCGTTCCCCATCCTCCAGTGGTAACCATGCCACTGCCGCTGGTTCCCCATGCTCCAGTGGCCGAAGCCCAGGTAGCGCCGTCCTCAGGTTTGTAGTCATCGTCTCCCCATCCGCCTCGTCGTGCAGACTCCTCGCTCCAGCCTGCTGCGATGCGCTCTTCGTACAGTTTTTGTTTCTTCTCTGCCCTGACCTTATCTTGTTCTTCCTTGACGCTTAGCTCCTCTGCTTCGTCAGGGTCTTTCCAGGCAGGGTCAATTTCGCGGCGGTAAACTTCGCGGGTGTAAGGGCGCGGGCGGCCTTCCTCGTCTATGGTGGTGGTGTTGGCCTCGAGGATGAATTGGAGAGTTTCGGAGCGTGGTGTGGGGCGTGGATCGGGTAGGTGGCCAAACTGCTCATTTCCTTCTCCGAAGATGCGAAAAGTTGATACCGCGAGTTCTTCCTCGGTCAGGCCAGTTGGTTCTTGCTCGGCGCTTTTTGCCTCCTGGATCGCTGCGTATTCCCTCTCCACTTATTCCGTGCGGCTTGCAGCGGGTGTATGGCAGGTGGTGCAGAGCCCGTTGATGTCGGGGTTGTGCAGATTGATTTCGCGCGGATGTGGGCTGCGGCGGATCCGCGGCCGTCCATCAGGATGTTGCCATGATTCTTCACTCATGAAGGCAAATTCGAGGGGGACCAGGTCCACGAGCTCATCCGACGAGGCTTCACAGCTTGGTACGTCGAAGTCCAGAACGTAGATCCCGTTGATTGAGCGGGCTCGACCGAGGTATTTAAACGACTCGGGAGGTGTGTCCGGAGGGGCGTACGTGAGGATGAGGTCGCGCGTGGCCAGGTCGGTGGTGAGTATGACGCCGCAGTCCCGAAGTTGTCCTGCCGAGAGTAGATTAAAGCGTAGGTCTGGGACGTAGAGCACGTCGTTGAACGAGATGTGGGTGTTGCTGTCTCGTGCTTGCAGGACGACAATGCCTTGGGAGTTGGCGCGCAGCTGGTGGCTATTAGCGACGGTGACGAAGGTTGCGGGGGCTCGGTTGAGGTTTGACACGTAGCGAGTCGACCCCACCATGTGTTGTCCGCAGCAGCTGTCCAGGTACCAAGTGTGAGAATTGGAACGAGAATGAATGCATTGAGCAGCATGAGGAGTACAAGTACCAAACCCTAGAATGTTGTACCCCATATGAGCTACCCCACTACAGCCTACACAGACTATAGTGTATAAGTTTGACACACCCCCATAGGCAAAGTGGGGGAGAACAAGGGGTCACAAGACCAGTCAAGCAAAGCAAGGCAAAGCAAGCTCAGGGTGGATCACAACGTCACCACACAGTCTGAGCACAAGTTCAAGGCCACAAGGCCAGTTCACATGCAATGTCACATATATATAAAGCTAAACAGGCAGGTATATATATGTAACAGTACAAGCAAGGTCAAGAAGTAAGCAAGTGAGGCAAGGTAGGTACAAGACCTAACAGAGTGCAGAAGCGCTGATGATCACAAGGCGCGAGTGCCTTAGTGAAGATATCAGCAGTGTTGGCCTCAGAGGCCACGTAAGCAAGGCGCAGCTGACCACGCTGCTGCAGCTCACGAGCAAGAAAGTAGCGGAGAGCGATGTGCTTCGTTCTGTGCTCCAGTCTGTGCTCATGACACAAGGCCAGCATGGCCTTGTTGTCTACGTACAGCACTGGAGGAGAACGAGGCGGCTCTCCCAGGTCAGTCAGCAGGTAGGTGAGCCAGCGTAGCTCCTGTGCAGCCATGGCCCCTGCGTAGATCTCAGCCTCACAACTGGAGCCGAGAACAGAAGACGAGCGGGTAGACCGCCAAGAAACAGAGCCGGAACCAAGGCTGAAGGTGTAACCCTGTGACGACCGCTGCGTAGCCTGGTCGTCAGCCCAAGAAGCGTCTGCGTGACCAGTGAGGACCACTGAACTATGCCCTCCAAGCACAAGCCCCATGCCCGACGTACTGCACAAGTAGCGCAACACCCTCTTCGCTGCAGCCATGTGCTCTGGTCTGTGTCTCCCAGGAGCAACAAAGCGTGCCAGAATGCTAAGAGGGTATGCAAGGTCAGGTCGAGTGCAGGTCATCAGGTACATGAGGCAGCCGACAAGCTCTGGGTACGGGCCACTCGACTCTACGGACTCATCCGAAGGCAGAGCTGAGAGCGAGTGGCGCGTAGGCAGAGGAGTGGCCTGAGGCGAGGAGTACGTGAAGCCGAAGCGCTGAAGGACCTGCTGCACCATATGTGACTGAGTCAGGGTAATGGTGCGCTGTGCTCTGTCCCTGGTGATCTGCAAGCCAAGGTAGCTGCGCAGTTCACCCAGGTCTGTGCACGTGTGTCTCTTCTGCAGCTCGGACTTCACGTAGGCAAGTCCAGCAGTGTCAGCTGTAGCAAAGACCAAGTCGTCGACGTACACGAGGATGTAGAACGGCGGCAAAGAAGTGTCGGTGCGCAGAAACAGCGACGGGTCGGCAGTAGAAGGAGCAAACCCAAGGGCCGCAAGTGTAGTCCTCAGTGTGTCGTGCCACTCACGAGGCGCCTGGCGGAGACCGTAGACTAGCCGCCGGAGGCTCCACTGGGTACCAGGAGGAAACAACCCAGTGAAGCCAGGTGGGCGGCGCAGCCAGATCTCCTCGTGAAGGCTGCCCTGCAAGAAAGCAGTGCTGAAGTCAAGAGAGTGCAGCTCGTAGTCTCGGTAAGCGGCTATGTGCAGCAGTACCCGAAGAGTGGTCATCTTCGGGGTGGGGGAGAAAGTCTGAAAGTAGTCAACTCCCTGCCGCTGACTGAAACCACGAGCCACGTAACGCGCCTTGAAGACAGGCGGAGAACCCGGCGGCCGCTTCACCCTGAAAATCCACATGCCACTGACGATGTTCGCCCCAGGCGGGGGAACCTCGTCAACGTAGGTGCGTGTGGACTTCCAGGAAGCCATCTCTGCGTCCATGGCTGCCTGCCACTGAGAGGAGTAGGGACCCTCTATCGCCTCCGCGTAAGAGCGCGGAGTCGGGATGTCAAGTGCATCCGGGTCTCCCTCAGGGGCAAGCAGCATGGACACGAGATGAGGTGAAACAGCAGCCAAGCACTGGAACTCCTCCTGCCTGTCCTCTAGGACGTCCGTGCCAAGAGCACACTCACCCCCGACGGACGGAGGACAGACAGACTCAGACTCAGCGACGAGACTGGTAGCGTAGTCTAGGCGACAGCGAGCAGCGAAGTCGACAAGCTCAGCAACTAGGGCAGACGCAGCAGTAGACTCAAAGGAAGGGTCAGTGACGACAGTAGCAAGGAGACGCGTGACAGTAGGACGCGCAGCACGAAGGGAGTCCGACTCCGGGTCAGGAAGCTCAGGAAGAGAGGACGCTGGAGGAGAGGGCAAAGGGGCACGCAGCGGAGCAGTGGAAGGACGCAGAGACATCCGGTGCGTGCCGGGGACAGGGGGAGGACGCTGACGCGAACCACGACCACTAGTGCGAGCAGCACGGACAGGCGACGCAGGGCGAGACGCAGGCTCACGACGCTCAGCAAGACCTCCAGTAGGACCAGTGTAGGGAGAAGGAGAAGGAAGCGGGGAAGGTGGCTGTAACTGTGACTCAGACTGGACAGGAGGCGGACACTCTAAGGCAGGAGCAGGACCAAGAGAGGACGGAAGACCAAGAACCTGCTCAAGGAGCGGAACGAAGTACGGCCGCGGCCGCGCAGCTCCACCAGTGCCAGCAGGAACAGCACCAGCGCCCCCAGCGGGAGCACCAGCACCAGGAAGACCCGCAACTCCAGCAGCTCCAACTCCAGCACCCCCAGCAGCACCAGCGCCAGGAGCACCCCCAGCGCCAACACCCCCAGTAGCTCCAGCTCCAGCCGGACCACCCGAAGACGCAGCAGCTCCAGCTCCAGGAGCTCCAGCAGCACCAACGCCAGTAGCACCAGCAGCACCAGCAGCACCAGCAGCACCAGCAGCTCCAGCAGCACCAGCAGCTCCAGCGCCAGCAACACCAGCAGCACCACCAGCTCCAGCAGGAGGAGCACTCGTAGGGTCAGCAGCTCCAGTACACTCGGTACGAGCACCTCTGGGACCCTCGGCACCAGCACTCTCAGCAGCAGTAGAACCCCCAGCTCCTGCAGCACCACCAGCTCCAGCAGCACGTCGCCAGCGCCGGGCGAACCACTCACGCAGCTCCTGTGGAGAGAGCAGCTCCCGCCGGGACGAAGCACCGGAGGAACCGCCAGGCTCAGCACCACCAGACGCCGGACGAGCAGGTCCAGCACTCTCAGGCTCCGCACTCCGAGACTCAGCACCCCCAGGCTCAGCACCCCCAGCAGCACCCCCAGGCGCAGCACCCCCAGGCGCAGCACCCCCAGGCTCAGTACCCCCAGGCTCAGCACCCCCAGGCTCAGCACCCCCAGTCGCAGCACCCCCAGACCCAGCACCCCCAGTCGCAGCACCCCCAGACCCAGCACCCCCAGGCTCAGCACCACCAGCAGTACCAGAGTCAACAGCTACCTCGACTGGCTCAACTGCATCTACCTGGGACACACCTGAGGGAGCAGGACCCTGAGGGGGGAGGGGGTCTACCGGAGGGGGGCCTGGTGTAAGGAAGAGCGGCGGGGGAGGGAGGGACGCAGTGCGGTAGGGGAAGAGACGGTAGTAGGGAACCGACTCGTCAAAGGTGACGTCCTGGGACGCGAAGACACGGCGCGAGGTGGGGTGGTAGAACTGCCAGCCTGGCGCGTCAGGGGGAAAGCCAAGGAAGACGCAGGGAACAGCACGAGAGGACAGCTTGTCCGCAGACAAGTCTCGGACAAAAGCCCGAGATCCCCAGACCCGAAAACGCGACGCATCACCAACCTTCCCCGTCCACAGCAAAGCAGGGGAGGTCTCCGGCATGGAGACCCGGGGGTGAAGGTTGAGCTGATGCGCCGCGTACCGAACCGCAAACGGCCACAGAAAATGGGGAGCAGCCGCATGGATCATGGACGTACGAGCGACGTCCATGACCATGCCGATGCGGCGCTCAGCAATCCCATTCTGCTGCGGAGAGTCCGGAAGCGTGAAGGTCTGGCGGATGCCTCGTGTGCGACAGAAGGTCTGCAGAAGGTCAGAGGAGAACTCTCCGCCTCGGTCGGAGTGCAGACGCCGAACAGGAAAGTCGGAGCCGAAACTCTCCTGGAGCTGGAGACGAGCCGCGCGGATCCAGGCGATCAACACCTCAGTGACGTCACCCTTGCTGCGCAAGGGGAAGACTGCGGTGTAACGCGAGTAGTCGTCAACCACCAGCAGGAAGTAGCGCTCCTGACCCTGCCCACGGACGCGGGCTGGGCCCCACACGTCCATGTGAAGCGTCTGCAGCGGAGCCTCTGTCGGAGGAAACTCGGAGGAGTGAGGAGCAGCGCGCTGCCGCCCCTCGACGCAGGGAACGCAGGTGGGGGCAGGCCCCGGAGGAAGAGGAGGGAGGGACCGGGGGAGACCAGAAACAAGAAGACGGGAAGCCATGCCTCGAAGGCGAGGCAGGGAGGGGTGACCAAGACGGTGGTGCCAGAGGAGAGTCCGGTGAGACAGGAGACGACACGAGCAGGGGGCAGACTCAGGATTAGACCTGGACGCCGCAGCAAACACCTGACCCGACGCGGCTACCTGAGCAGACTCAGTGACTGGGGAAGACTCAGTAGTCAGTGTGTACAGGCTCGACCCTGGCCGACGAGCAAACGTGGCCAAGTGGCGGCCCGTGTCCGCACAAGTGCAGTGGGTCACCCGCTGACGCGCAGGGGTGAACTGGTCAACTCCTGCATCCTGGAGGTCAGCACCCGCCACCAAGTTCGTAGAGAACGAGGGGAGGTAGAGACCCGACAGGGAGCCAGACGGGACCGCTGGACACGGTAGGACAGTGGAGTAGTGAGCAAGGACAGGACCCCCAGAGGGGTCCGCTAGGGAGACCGCAACAGGCCGACTGAGCGGCGTGAGAGTGGTGCAGTCTCGAAAGAAGGAGCGGGAAGCACCCGAGTCAAGGGTGAAGGTGTGGGTGTCCGGGGGCGACGCAGCACCTGAGAGCGCAAACTCACCGGCACCTGGGGCAGCAGACGCACTGGCACCTAGAGCAGCAGCCTCACAAGTACCTAGCGCAGCAGCCTCTATGCCTGGGTCAGGCGGGAAACACCGGTAACAGTCACCCTCATCACTAATAGTCACAGCATACATGGCAGCAAGAATAGCATCAAAGTCAAGATCATAGATTGCAACACCCGCCCTAGACAGCTCGCCCCAGCGAGGGATCTCCGTAGCGTCGGGGAACTGGTGGCGCCACGCGTCTGTCAGCCGACCGAAGCAGCGCTGGGTGGGGTGCGGGCCTCCACACTGCTCACCCGCCCGGTCGCCGGTACGGAGAACGTAGGTGCAGGGGCCAGCACCCCCACCCCGCTGACGAGCAGCGTACCACTCACGAAGCTGCTGGGGGGAAGGGGTCTCACGGGTACGCTGCTGCTGCTGCTGCTGCTGGCGCGCACCACCACCGGAGCCACCCCTCTGCGCAGCGCCACCCCGACCAGCTCCGCCGCCTCCGCCGCTACCTCCTCCACTACCGCCACCTCCGCCACCTCCGCTCCCACCGCCACCGCCGCCTCCACCTCCACCTCCAGTCCCGCCACCGACGCCCCCACCCCCGCCACCACCCCCACCGCCACCCCCACCCCCTCCACCACCTCCACCTCCGCCTCCACCGCCCCCTCCAGCCCCTCCAGCACCCTTGCCCCCCTTGCCCTTGCCAGGGCGGCGTCTCCCGCTAGGGGCAGACGCCGCAGCGACCGACTCAAGACCAACGAGGTCGGCCGCAGCAGCAGAGGCAACAGAGGGCAAGAGGGGAGAGGGGGAGCACCCCTCAAAGACAGGGGTACGAGGGTCACCACGAGAGGCACCTACTGCGACTATGCTCTTCTCTGCCGCGAGCAGGCGCTCCTCGAGGAGGTCAACGGTGAGGGTGGTGGGGCAAACAGAGAGGAAGTGGTCCCTAACCGGGCGAAGGGTGTCAGGGAGCCGGGTGACTATGTAGTAGAGGGTGATGTACATGGGGGGGGGGTTCTTGGCGCAGAACTCAGCAGGAAGCGCAGCGCGGTAGCGAGTGTCACTAGTGCGAAGGTGCGTAATGAGGTCAGCGACAGTGGGAAAAGCGGCGAGGTCAGGGAAGAGGTACGGTAGGATAAGGCGGCTAAGCGCAGCAGTGGCAGGGGAAGAGTAGCGCGCAACTACAGCGTCGTACAAGGTCTTAGCACTCTTGTACTGGCTAAAGTGCGCACGCTCAGAGGTCGGCAAGTGGCGGCGCACAGCAAGGCGGGCAGCAGCATCGCGTGTGGCCCACTGGGAGCGAACAGTGGGGTCAGCATCAGCAGCAGGGGCAGGAGAGGCACCAGAGGTGAGGTCAAAAAGGGAGAGGCCGTCTGCTCTGTCGCTCAGTAGGAAAAGCTGCAGGTCATCTACCCAGACGTCAAAGTCAATGGCCCGACCCTCAGCGTCAAAAGTGAGGACACTGGGGGAAGCCATGACAGCAGTAGACTAGCAGTGAGAGCAGCAGGCTAGGGCAGAGCAGTGGTGGAGGCGCTGCTCTTATCGGGCAGGCGAGAAGGACCGAGGCGCGTCGGCAGGAACAGGGCCGGGACGGCAGGAACGGCGGCTCGGCGGCTCAGCGGCTCGGCAGCTCGTCGGCACCGGCGTCTCGGCGGCTCGGCAGCACGGCGGCAGTGGCGGCTCGACGGCTCGGCAACTCGGCGGCAACGACGGCTCGGCGGCTCGGCGGCTCGACGGCTCGGCGGCTCGGCGGCTCGGCGGCGCGGCTGCTCGGCGGGGCCGCGAAGGGATGGCGAAGGGGCCGCAAAGGGCGGCGGTGGGGTCGCACGGGTGGGGCGACGGGGGGTCGCGGGCGGCTGCGACCACAGGAGTCGCGCGCGGCTGCGGCGACGGGAGGGCAGGCGGCCGCGGCGACGAGGTCGCAGGCGGCTGCGACTGCAGGGTCGCGGGCGGCGGCGACGGTAGGGTCGCGGGCGGCTGCGACAGCAGGGTCGCGGGCGGCGGCGACGGCAGGGTCGCGGGCGGCTGCGGCGACAGGGTCGCGGGCGGCTGCAGCGGTAGGGTCGCAGGCGGCCGCGGTGACGAGGTCGCGGGCGGCGCGAAGGGCGACGGGGTCGCGACGGGCGGCGTCGGGGTCGCGGGCGGCTGTAACGACGCCGCGCAGGGCGACGCGAGGGTGGGGCCGCGGGGTCGCGACAGGGGGGCGCCGGGGCCAGCAGAGGCGGCGCCGGGGCCGGAAGCGCGGCGCGACGGGGCCGCTAAGGGAAGCGAGGGGAGGGGAGCGCGACTCGGGCAGGGGCGGAGCGCGCTCCGGGCAGGAAAAAAAAAATCTTACGGTGGGCCCTAGGAACAGTTCCCACGAGGGAACCTGCTCTATACCATGTGACAATTGGAACGAGAATGAATGCATTGAGCAGCATGAGGAGTACAAGTACCAAACCCTAGAATGTTGTACCCCATATGAGCTACCCCACTACAGCCTACACAGACTATAGTGTATAAGTTTGACACCAAGTGTTGTAGTTGTCTTTGTTATTGTTGTTGCGGAGCAGTAGCGCGAGTCGCGGGGTTACCAGCGTCGCCTTGTAGCGTCTATGAAAAGACGGGTCTTCATCTTCCTTCCATCCGACAGGTACGTAGAGTTGATTGTCGTGAGGCGGGCTTTCCCGCAGTGTGATTGGCTGATTCCAATCCTGCTCGTCTTCGTCGTACAGGTAATAGTGGTCTTCTGTGAGGGGGTTGTTCCATCCTTCTTCTGGTTGCAGCAGTGTCCCTTGAAGTTCGTCTTCTTCGTCTGGCTCAGCAGTGCGGCGGCGTCGCGTCGCCATGTTTGCGATTATGTTTCTGGGGGCTCCTCCTTGAGGTCCTTGTGACTGCTGTGGTTGTTGTGCAGGGGGACGAGAGACCGGTTGTTGGGGCTGTGAATGACGAGCGTCTTGTCGGCCGACCCAGTTGTTGTGGTGAGTGGAATTCGGGTGCCGATAGTTGGATCGGGATTTGCATCGATCCGTTGAATGCCCGAAGGCTTTGCAAATTTTGCAGTAATGGCGCCTTGGTTGTCGTCGCTCTTCACGGTTGTCTGTGTAGAAGGCGAGTCGCTCTCGGCGTGGCGCGGAACTCGTTCTGCTCGAGTCCATGTCCTGCTGCTTAGTTAGCAGGGCGGCGCATAACGCGGCTTCAGAGAGCTGTCCTCGTTGTCGGAGTAGTGCCTTGCAGGGCTTCCACTCAGGCCCAAGTCCTTGGAGGATGATGTTTACGAATATCTCCTCCGAGATCGAACTTCCGTTCTTGATTATTTGGTCACGGATGTTCCGACGACGGTTGATGTAACTGTTTGCTTTCTCCCCGTGCCCCATCTTCGTCTCCATGAGTTGTTGCAGGAGGCGGCTTGCAGTGACGGAATCCTTCGGCTGATATACCTCCACGTCCAAGCTTCAAGAGCCGGAGCGGCGCTCTCTTTGTAGGAGCGGATGCCGAGCTGTTCTGCCGGCGACATGTTGCGCAGCAGGACGCTATACGCCATGAGCGACTCACTGTAGTATTGAGCGCGGGCGTCTTCGGTGTCTTCCACCGGTTTAGGATAGGAGCCGTCGAAGTAGTGGTAGATCTGCGCTGTCTGTAGGAGGAGCTCCAGCTCAAAACTCCATGTATAAAAATCCTTGCCGTCAAACGCGGCAGTAGTCTTGATCTTTGACACACTGAGAAAGCGTGCTTGCGCAGAGTTGATGGTTTCGTCGCTTGGACGAGGGGCAGTTGTTGCAGATTTGTCTGAGTCGAGGGAGAAGCCGTGCGCGGCGGTATCGCGGCTTTTCGCAGCCGGTTGTCCAGGTTGAACTGGTTGGGAAGTGGTTCCCGCATCGCCTTTGCGCAGTTCTTGGAGTTCTTTCTCCATTGTTGATAATCGAGCCAATAACTGCTTGAGCGCGGCAGTGCCGATCGTGGTTGTCGCCTCATTTGTCGCAGCCGGGTTGGTTTGTCCTTCGGCCGTTAGATTTGTTTGGCCTCCGGATCCTCCGGCCATCTTGGTCTTGGAACGTGTGCCGCTCGCCAGATCTTGGTTTGGCGAATTTTACGGAGTTGACGTTGCGAAGAATCCCTGAGCAGCTCTCATACCATGTTACAATCTGAAATGAGATTGAGCGAAAGAAGGATCGTTCAACGTTGATCGCAGGTAGTGTCGCAGCGGAAGTAGTGAACTCAGGTCAGAGTGAATGTAAATGACTGAGATGATAATAGCATGCATACATTGGGTTTATATAGAAATACAAAGGAATGCGAAACGACCTAGACTAGCCATGTACTCTAAGGGGTACATTCCCTTATTGCAGTGAAATTCAAACCGTGCGGCGCGGGAATCAGTTTCAAACCTGTTCCCGCTCTTTTCACTTCAAATGTTTCTGCCTGCATCGGTCTTGGTCAGACGGTTGCTGTGTCGCTTCGACTCTTCTGACTCCTCGACTTCGTACTCGGTAGAGTCGGCTCCTGCAGCATACAGGAATGTTTTCTCATAAAACTTCATATCGTAACAGTTTCTGTTTTCACCATTGTACATTCTTCAAGAGCGATAGAGCTACTCAATGTTTTTTTCTTTCAACAATCCATTATAATTAAATTGTAGTGGTTGATGAGCTTATGTTTGTTCCAGAGGAGAATAATAATATTGGTCGAATGCATTAGATCTGTCGTCTTTTTTTTTTGTACTCAGACCATCGCTTTACAATGTTGCTGTAGGATACTTGAAAATATTACAATGTAGCATAATTACGCAAGGAAAAGGAGTGGAAACGGGAAGAGAGGAGAAATCGAGGAATAACGTGAGTAGAAAAAAGGAGAGAGGAAGAAAGGAGGAGGGGAATAGGGGAAAAATGATAGGAGGAAGAAAAACAGGGAAGAAGGAAGAAATGAGCTGGACCATACGGTTTCTGCAACCAGTAGCCAGCTTGCTGTTTTTTGCTTACGTGGCCAGCAAGTTTCCGATTGGAGGTCTTGCCCAGCGAGGTCAGCGTTCGGAAAACACCTGACACGGCCGTTCAGGTTCTGTCGGCTGGACTTTATCCAGACGTTGGGCATGGCGGAGAACTTGCGCCAACACAACTCGCGCGTGTGACCAGAACCTCTAGCGCTGGCGGAGAGGATGCAGCTCGCGGTTAGGTCTGCGCATATGCGACAAGTTTCCGACAGAACCAGCCTGGAGCAGCACGAAGTGGCGCAACTGGATTGTGAATTCTGGTTGTTTGAAATGAGGGTGCTAGGGGGGGGACATAGCTGCACGTTCCTGCAATGCCCCCCACTGTTATTTTCGCCAAGGCGTTGTCCTGAAAGCGATCTTTTCGACCAACCACGTTGTGAACAGTACACTTACTGCTCTGATTCGCGCGAGAGAAATGTTTCAGCCGACCCACCTGAACGTTGATGGTGGACTCAAAGGCACAAAAGGACGTGTTGTCTGCTGGTTATCTCCCTCGCGATGTGCGGATCAGATAGTAGGAGGATCACCGATCGAAGCGCAGGATATTCCTTCTTCACCTGACGACCTCGAGGATGCTGTTGGGCTGTCGTACAAGATTCGCCAGGCTCGCAATATCTCACCTGAAACGGTCGCAACCATTTCGCGAACTTCACATGAACGCAACGGCCTAGCTTCAACAATTCCGTAGTTTTCACCTGATGTTGTTCGCCCCAACTCTCCAGCTCGTCTCCTCCTCCGCCTCATCCACCTCTGGCATTCCGTCTTCGTCGTCGCCCGATTATCGGCTGTGGCATCGTGCAAGTTCCGTGACTGCTGCTGCGTTCACCTTAGCAAAACCACTTCGCAGTGATGTCGTAGCCTCTGTTCCTGCAACAGATTGCTTACGCGCATCACTGAAGAATTGCTTTCAGCAAGTAATTAGAGCCTGGCTGGCTCCGAACACAATGACCTAGGTTTGACTACCGACTTGCTGATCGATCATGGAGGACTTCCTGTAGGGTAGTCTTAGACACTGTAGTTTAGGAGTGGCTGTTCTCGTTTTCCGTGCTTATTGGCTGGAGGCGGGTAGTGTCAAGGAGGAGGCTTCACAGGGTTAGCGGGAGCAGCAGGTCAATTCGTCCTCTGTCCGTACTTACATCAGATTGAGCTCTGTTCCCACCGGCGTTATTCCCTCCCTCGATAATTACTTCACACTCGTCATATCTCCCGCTATAGATTAGTTCACGCCATGGCTCGCCGTTCAGGAACACCGTACGGGCGTTTGATGAACAAACTCCGAAGCCCGGCTCAGATCATCCTCACTTTTATCATCGGCTTCGCCATCCCCTTTTTGTTCTATGTCTTTCTCGACTCGACATTCGATGTTGACATCGCGCCGTATTGCTACGTGTTCGTTGTCTTCATGCTCGTGTCCACGGCCTTAGTCGTTTGGGTGGAGTGCTTCCTCGCCGTGTTTATCAAGAACGATCCTCCCGAGCAGCCCGCATCTCCCTACCCCCCTGCTTCCGCCATCATCGCTGCGTACCTGCCGAATGAGAAAGACACCATCCTGGAAACCATCGAAGCCTTCCTTAACATTGAATATCCCGCACCGCTACAGGTGCGTCAGAATGGGCTGTATTTTTATCTTGTGTTTTGCATAACGTCCTTCCATGCCTTGATCGAGCAGCTGATTATCATTTTCTTGCTTCTGAGCAAACGGATTTCTTCTCGCCCTGAGTTTATTATTGCCAGTTGAATTAACCATCTCTTCCTTTTACCGTCTCAACTTCCATCCTTCCCACACCCAGGTCATTTTGGCCTACAACACGCCGAAAGACATGCCCGAAATGGAAACAATCCTTGCCGAGATGGGTCAGCAAAGACCCGACCGCTTTCTGCCGTACCGCGTCGTCCACTCGCGTTCCAAGGCCGAGAACGTGAACGCGGCCGTGAAGCTCGTCCGCGGAGAGTTCGTTGGTGTCTTCGACGCGGATCACTGCCCGTCGCACGACTCGTTCATGCGCGCGTGGAAGTGGCTCAGCAACGGCTACGACATCGTGCAAGGTCACTGCATCGTGCGCAACGGCGAAGATAACCTCGTCGCGAAGCTCGTCGCCGTTGAGTTTGAGACCATCTATGGCATCGGCCATCCCGGCTCTGCTGCCGTTCACAACTTCGGCTTCTTCGGTGGCTCTAACGGCTTCTGGAAGTCGGGTCTTCTCGCGCAAATCGGCATGGATGCCGCCATGCTTACAGAAGATATCGACTCCTCCATCCGCGTGCTGCTCGCCGGAGGGAAAATCAAGTCCGACCCTGGTCTCATGTCGTCTGAACTCGCCACCACCACGCTTCGGCAAATATGGAATCAAAGGCTGCGATGGGCGCAGGGATGGTTCCAAGTGTCGCTCCGGCACTTCACGGCCGTCATGACGTCACGGAACCTGTCGCTGTGGCAGAAA